AGCGACTAGTGCGTAACCTGGGCACAGCACAGAAGTGACAGCTCACAAGCTCACAGGCAAAGTGTTTCACCTGCACAAAGGACTAAAGATCTGAATTAAAAAAACCTGAGCCCGTGCTGAAAGGAATTACCAGGATGTGGGAAGCAGAAGTTTAACCCATATAATGCCTGGGCCAGCAGCAAACCAACCCTGTTCAGGAGAGCTGGTTTTGGCTTTTTTTCAAAAAGCCATTATCATTCTATTCCTTGCTGAGAAGTTTTTCCACTTAAATACTTAATTTATCTTTATACTTGTTAAGCAAAAGCACTTTTTAAGCAAATCAAACTGCTGCAGGCTTACAAGGAGAAGAAAGGTAATTTCATTTTATGCAAGGTTCCTTGTAAACACAACTATTGTAGAATATTGTTTATTCTGCAAGCTGCAGAGTAGCAGTAGCTGCTTGGGCACTGGCTTCGTTCACTCTGAAGCAGCACAACACAGTCTTTGTTGAACTTGCTTTGGAGCAAGTCATTGTGATTCACTGAAAAACTGCTCCCTGTGATGGGGCTGCTCTCTCCTGCGCCTTATGCAGGGCAGAGAGGGAGAGAAGACAAAAGCAGCACCTTTAGACATGTAAACAGAAGATAGTAATGAAATTTGCAGTTAGTATCCAATCTTGAAATGAACAGTCATTAATGAGTGTTAAGTGTTCATGCAAACACATTCCCTTTAAAAACCAAGAGCAATAGTCTGCTCTCCAACATACTGCTGCTCATGCATGTTGCCTGCAGTGAAAGCATGAAAACAGCTCGGGATTTCTAGAGAGTCTTTTGGTTGGTTGGCTATTTTTGCTTTGTTGCAGCCATAGATTACAAAATATAGCTTATAGCATGAAACAGCCAAGATAGCCAGAAGGCCTATGACCAGCGACCAGGCATTTAAGGTTACATAATCTGTTTTTCTACTCTGAGAGGAGGGAAAGGAGGATGGGAGGCCAAATATCCAAGTTTCCCTTGTAATAGCAAGTATAAACTTGTAAAAGCACAATGAGATCAGATCTCAGAACCATCACTTTTCAGTATTTTAAGCTGTCTGAAAAAGGAGATTGTTCTCATAAACAGAACCAGAGAATATCCTGGCACGTCAGTCCTGAATTAGATTGCAAACGTTATACTGAGTCAGATTTCTCATTTTCTAACCTCTATGTTATTCTGCTGAATTCATTAGAAGGTTGTGGCCACTAGCCAAAAGTAATAGCTAATGTATCCCAGAGCCTATATTGTTTGAAATATCATCTAAGACAGGAATTTACAGCACTGCTATAATAAAACTCATATTTCAATGATAAAATATAAGCCTGCATACTTGCCATGAATACCAGAATTATATGGAAAATCCAGCCACAAAATTAGGAAAATATGCAGCAACTTCTAGAAAGAACCTGTTAAGACTTGCTTATACCTTGAAGAACAACCTTAAGGAAGAGATAAATCACAAATGATGGTACACAGGCAGCTGCAATGGACCTAAAAGAAATGCCAATGAGTTACAAATCTGAGGGTTTTACCATGCAGGAAGACAGCAATTTCAGATTGGTATGAAGCACTTACTACTTTAAACAAGAAAGGATGGGACAAAGTCATGCCTCTGCCCAGCTCTGAATTTTGTTTTGGATTTGCTGTGTTCTAGTGTAGTCTCTTTCACATTATGTACATTATTATGCATTCAAAGAACAATGAAATGTGTACTTTGTATGTCAAAAGATTGCAAGTTAATATTCAGCAGGAATTACAAAGTATTGCTTTTACAGACAAGAAACTGTGTTGCTTTTTTTTTTTTTTTTTTTTTTTTTTCCTGTAAAGGAATAGAAGTACAGACTTAGCCTAAAACCTTGGAACAAACCTTCATTTATGAGACAGGGGAATCATTTTTATTCCACTGCATGAATTCGGTAGGCTGCCACAGGCCAGTCATAATCTGTTATTGTTTCCCTGCAACCTTGTACTATTAATTTTTCTTTTTAATGAACTGTCCAGTCTAGTTTAGCTATGGAAACTATGATGGAACTGCAATACAAATGGTTTATGTCATACCTTTGTCAAAAGGCTTTCCCCTACAGCATTAGAATATAATTGAAAAGCCATTTTAAAATAAAGTAACTGAATGGTTGCAAATGCAGGTTGTCAGGAATAAAGTGGTAAAATCCTATGCATTACATTAGATTTTACCAATGGCAATTTGTGTGACTTTATTAGTGTTCATTCAAATTAGTAAAGCCACATACATTGCATGTTTGCATGGCTATATTAGCAAGTGCTCCTGTGAGATACTGAAACCATTTTTAAAAAGTTCTTCTTTAACTATTTTCCTCTTCAGTTTGTTTAACCATTTCAAAGTAACTAAATTTGCCAAATTTCATCTCGGTTTATGGCATAAAGAATATATCCATGTTTGAGGCAGCAAATGAGCTAAGTAAAACTGAATACAGCTTTTGTAGTGTATGAAACCTTGAATGGCTAAGTACTCAGTAGTATATGTATAAAATGCGTACAAGACATAATTCAGTTTTTCCTTTTGTTTAAATTTTCTAGTCCTCTACATTCTTTCTACTGTTATTACTACTATTACTGTTATTACTCTTTGGAAAGCCATAATAGAAGAACTGTAAAGAGCATTTATAGTTAAAGCTGACATCAGTTTTCTCAGTAAACATATAATGAGTTCATTACAACTGCAAATTGAAGATTTCTGTCAATATTTTTCCTGAGAAATGTTGAGTTACTTATTATTGGTTCACACGTCCCACCTTTAAAATAACTACTGAAATTTTGTCAGAAATTAATTTTATTGGAACACATATTGCACAACTAATACCAGAATACTTCACGTTGTTTTGACTCATGGGGTCTTGGACTTCTGGTGAGTTTCTTAGCCAAGGTCTGAGTCTTTCTAACTTTTTTCTTCTCTTACAGCCAGTCTGCAATTTGTGTAGTGCAGTCACTCCTTTACTTAGAAAAAAATGCCTTGCCTCATGGGAGCCTTCCATTTCCTGCAACATAGCCCAGCAAAAGTGCTCCAGTGCACAGGGCAGAGCACACTGCAGCCCAAACAAGGCTAGGATTTCCCAGAGGGAAAAGGCAGAGATGAGTGTTTGACAGTGCATTATTTTCAGCATTTGAAGACAATTTTTTTGTCAATACGACCTGAGTTTCAGTCCTTTTAGAAGGCATGGTGATTTGTAACAAAATAATGATTCCTCTGGTATCTATGTGACCAGGATATACATCTTACACCGTTCTAACAATATTTCCTAAGGTGCTTGGAAATAAGCTCAAGGAAGTCTTCGAGAGCATCAACAAAGCAGAGGTAACAAATTCAGAGTCTAGCTCATTACACCAAATGTGTGCAATGAGACTGACACAAACAAATTGTTCTTGACATTTGACTCTCAGGCCATACTTTAAGAAGAACCTTTGGATTTGATGTACTTTGGAATGTCATCCCACTAAAATCAAAGATTTTGTGCTCATATATGAGCCTATTTCATTCAGACTTGTAATACCTAAAACATATGCAATGTGAATCCTGCAGATACCCTAAGTGTTTGTTCTCTGTTGTAGTTTTGTGGGTTAAGATTTCAAACATTTAGGTCTTAAAACTTATAGAAATGGCTACTTGTATAGAAATAAATTGAGATGCAATGCAGGTTAAAGCAGGCAATTGGAGATGTAATATTTTCTGATAGGAAGCCTTGTTAAACATGCTAGCACTGTAATAAGACAGGGCAATTCTACACAACTGAAAATTATTCTAATTTCCACATGGCATTTAAGCAGAAACAAATCAAGACTGCAATTTTCTTCCAAGATCTACCTTGTACACCAGAAACACTGTATTTTTTCCTATTACAGTCTAGGTTTACTATGAGAGAATTAAAAACTAATAATAAGAAGGATGTTTTATCTGAAAAATGGCAATTTAAAAACAGTACAACACTGAATTTATAAATCCAGCAAGTAAACCTCAGTTTTTCATCCTACACAAAAGGTTTTTACTTATGGCAGTATTCCTTTTGGAGAGCATAATGGATTGACCCCATGGATTGACCATTCAGACAAAATTCTTATCGGAGAAATATAATTGAGAAGAAGCTCATCAGTCATGCCTACTCTCAGTCTCTTTAGAATTTCAGTATGCACATCCCATGCAACACACAAAGGAAATCTCTAGTCAGGATATTCCCACTTAAGGGAACTGCTGGGCATCTTTTGTGACTGAGCGGCCAAGTCTATGTCACAGCTCCAGAGGAGCTCACAAATGCCTTTTCCTCTGCATTGTCATTCTTTGTTCCATTAACAATAGTTAAACATGAATATTTAGCTTGTAAACCATTTGATTATCTGGATACTGTAACAGGAAATTTGCATTCCTGAACAGGCACAGCTGGAAACAATTTAAGAAAGAAAGATTCTTCGAAGAAAGAGAAGAGAATTTAAGAAGCATATGGATGCTCAGGTTTACATGATAATCAACAAAAGCTGCTTGTTCCTCCTCTTTTGTAAGGAGCCACTTCACACTCTAACCAGAGGGAACATCCCACAGTCACTCTGCAGGAAGCTTGCTTTCAGAAATGATTTGCTTGAACTCTGAAATGTAAAAAAGTCTGTGGAAATAGACACAACATTTTGTCAGATAAGGAAAAAAAAAACCCACGACCTCAACTTGAGACTCCGTTAAATTTGGTTATTTCATGTACTAATGATAGTGGAGGGTTTTCCTTTATGGTTCTTCACAGTCATTTTATTTGTTAAATCTGCTTGGAAGCACAGCTCTGAAGTAAAAAAAAAAAAAGAAGAATGGAACAAGGCCTGAACCAAGTCGTAAGAAAGTGGCAGAAGGGATGAACTGGATGAATTGAAGAAACAGGAATGAGGAAACACATAGCTGTACACAGAGGGGAGACTCAGTGAAAAAAGCACAACCAATTTAAGATACATTTACTGTGTCTTTTTGATGCTCACTTGAAGCCCAGTTTGGAAGTCTTTGGTCCAACCAAATCATCTTTAATTTCATTCAATTGAAAAGCTGCATCTGAAAATGAACAGACCACTGCTTGCAAATTTTGGACCTTGTGCTCAGTGAATGACAGGACATCAATCTCACATTCCTAATGAAGAAGCAAAGGAGCTTACACATTTCCCAGCTAAAGTAAATTGAATGTTGTATGTATCACTGTCACACATCCTAATACCTTAACAAGTTGGTGGAGACCGTTTACACATATCCTATATAACTGCTTACAAGGATGATGAACTATACAGCGGATTCAACTGCCAGAAATGAAATAATCACCATTCAAGGACATTTCTACTGAAATGAAGCTTCTGTCAAGCAGAACTTGAGTGCACTGAATGTAAAAACTGTGAATGAGTCAGCTAGACAAAGCGCTTTCATATCCTGCCTTTGTAATCTTTATCCAACACAATTCAGACAGGATTATGCTTTTGGCTGTAAAAATGGTAGCATATATGTATTTGTAACCTATTACATTTACTCCATTCCTCTGTTAATTTAAAAAAAGCATGGATATTTCTGGAGGTGGGCAGTTCTCACCTCTGAGGAGGTTTCAGCAATAGCAAAACTGAAAGTCACAAGGATATGGAAAATTTAAGGCATTAAGGGCAGCAAATATAACTACTTCAGTGTTTGGGGTTTCTGGTACTGCCTCATTTCCACATTTTCTGCAGCTGCCTTCTCTGAAGCCTAAGTCACCACCAAATTCTTCAAAACCCATCTTTGAACAGTTCTATTAAGCTGAGGGTATTGCAGAAAATATCAGAGAAATAAACCAAGTATGGAATTAATCACTCACTCACTGAGGCCCAGAATAAGAAAAGCATGAATCTTTTCCACTGATGAAATGAAACCTACATATTAGAAAATGTATTACGTTTCTGTTCTTCATTGCTACATTGCTGTGAGTTTTCAAGAGATTCTCTGATGTTCCAAACAATACATTAAACAAGTGTGATGCAAAAAATGCACAGCAGGACACTCTATGTCCTACATCATCAGCTGTCCTGAGCTCAAGACCAATGGATAAACTCCGTGAAACTGCATGAGATACAGTAGCTGACAGCTCACAACAAGCAAGAGATTAGTCACAGCAGAAATTCTCCCTGTACTGAACAAGCACTGCAGGCTGGAGAGAAGAGAGGAGATAAGCATATCCAACTTGTTATTCAGAAGATCACACAATTGGATGTGCTACTTACTTTCACCCACTGGAATCATGTTGCCAATTTATGTAGCATATTCCACACATTTGAAACGCCACTTAATGATACTCTGAAGACAATGCAGATGAAAGCTTTCTGCTGCCACTTATCCAGTGCTTCAGCTCTGGCTGCAAAGAATGAAAAACTTAATTTGAAATCCCAGGCATTGACAGTACTGAAATAAAATTGAAGTCGAACCTACAAACTACCCCAGAAGACCAAAGAGAGTTTAAAGAATAGTTAATTCAATAATCTTTACACATAAAGATCAGAATTAACAAATAGCTTTTATCTTAACAGATTATTTGCAAGAACACTCACATCACTAAAATGCTGGAGGCCATCTCAATATGCCTTCACATCTTTTTTGTCATCTCCAAGGAAAAAAAAGGAGAGGAGAGGAGAGGAGAGGAGAGGAGAGGAGAGGAGAGGAGAG